TCAAAGAACGATTATTTATGTTTTACTTAAATTCGTTTCTAAATTTATCTAAATACAAAGTTCTTCGTAGACAAAATTAATTTAAATTAGAATAATTTCAAATTTAAAAAAATACCATTTCAGCTGGACCCAGATATTATAAGATTATTTCAAACACCTGAATAGAGTTTTTTAAAGTCTGAAAACTTACCAAAAACAAACACAAAAAAGTTTGGTCTTGATATTGAAATAACAGCAAAATTCTTGATACATTACAATTTTTCGAATTTTGCCTGATTATCTCATCAATGGCAGATGAAATTCTTCTTTGATTTTGTATAAATAATCTGTCTGTGGGAAATAACAATTTTATTAGGATTAATATAAATATCTCAGTCATTTTCATTTTTTAAACTATAACTTTAATTCCACAAACCCAAAACTAATTTTAGCAATGAAATTACGTTGTGGGTTAAGAAAATCGAATTCTTATCTTAGTAAGGTAGATCAAATACCAATTAAACGAAACTGCTGCATTTGTTTGTTTTAATTCGTTAAATTTATTGGTTAAAACACAAAATATAATTTTCAAAAAGAGTTTTCGCTACTTTTTGTGTTATATGCGGTTTAAAATTTAAGGTAGGGCCAAAGAGAAATAAAACTACGGAGAAGACCGCTGACCAAAAAGTGTCTGTAGCTCGCCGCCATCATAATCGTGAATTTATGAAACGGTCGAGATATATTTCAATAAATACAAGGTTGGAAACAGGAACACTTCCAGTACTGGTATATTAATAATGAATATTTTGGGCCCTCCCACGTTGAAAATGTATCATAAGCAAGGTATAGGCGGCTTATCAAAGGCCTCGGCGGCGCTTGTAAAGCAAACTCGAGCAAAGTTTTCGAGATGTGAACGCCGGGGGTGGACGTCCGGCCTTATTTAAATACCATTTTTATAGGAAAAATTTACCGAGTGTCTTAATCAAACCACGTGGGAGTCCCGGTTAATTATCGACGCCTCTGAACATTGGAAGAGATCTTTTGTCGTTGAAGTATTTAATAGATGACATACAGCTTACATTGTCTAATTATGTTTCCCAGTGAAGATAGTCATCGAGCCGAGGACAAAAACTCCGCGATGATGACCTTACATAATCAATTCATTGTGTAAAAGAATAGTGATTATCTCGCGCCTCTTTTGTATTACCCGACTATTGAGAACCGAAACGATACTTATTGTGTGTGAGAAATGACATCAAAAGAAGACACACGAAATTTTTCGAACAAATCGCGATCGCGATTCCCGATTAAAACCATCAAAAGACGCGACGCGAAATCAATTAAAAGCGAACGTAGTGAACCGTGTGACCTATAATTGTACCAACGGTGGATAATTTACATGGAATGCGTTTTACCACGAGCGACATTGCGCCTATGCAATCGAAAAAAATATTTACACACGTCTCTTTCACTTCAAGTGTGACGATGCCTCCAATTAACGGCGACTTGGATGGTACTTGTACCTGGACAAACACTCGGCTTGTCTTTCCAGCACTTCATTATTTTCAATCAAAATTTTGCGAGAATTTAATTAAAAAATTTAAATAGTCGAGTAGGAAGCGGTAAACAGAGGTTGCGACAGTGTGGAGTGGGTTCTTAAAAAACATTAAACGACAAACACATAAGCATAATTTATTCAATCCAACAGCTTCTTGTCTCTCTTTATATTGTCACAATTGATTACAATTATAATACAGATGGTTTTTCCTTTTGCTAATGTATAAATAAAAACTAAATATCTAAACCTAAATGATGGCTACTGATATTTGGTATTTCATACCTTGCATCAAAAGTAATCGGTCGATACGGCTCGATGCCACTTAACAATCGACATTCAAATTGGTTATTTCTAGTGTTATGAGTGAAATTAATGAGTTGCCATTATGGAAGAATATCACTAAAGTTATGTTTTCTTTGCAAAAAACTAATCACAATAAGTCTTTTTTGTTCATTTATAACAATAACACTTATAGAAATTATATAATTTATATAACTGCAGTAGAGCCATTTTATATACATAAACTTAAAAATAATAATAAATAAATTAATAAAGCAGGAACAATTCGAAATATCACGAAAATTAAATTAAATTAAAAATATATGCACAGACCATGGACTAGCTCTAATAAGTAGAAAAATAATATTTAAAGCAAGTGTACTCGTATCAAGTGCATCCAAATATAGCTAGTGACAACGTATATTTTGTTGCTTTGATCCACTTTACACAACTATCACCTACTTTCTTCATTTCGAATAAATATTACAAATCTTCATCTGAGGAATGTACAAGTTTAATTAAAACAAATAAATTAAATAAAAATTAAAGCCAACCGAGACAATAAGTGCTTGAACCTACTCATTTCGAGTAATAAGAATTGTTTTGAGTACTATGACATTGCACTTTAAATATAACCTACAATAAAAACAAAACAAATATATACAGAAAAAACCTAATCGCAAACCCAACATTATTTACACAAAAATCTCGTTAAAGCACTACAGATCACCGAATGGATCGAAACTGACTTCCTGTTTAGGAGGCTGTGCGCCCATTTTTGGGCTACCTTGCACCTGTACACCACCCAGTGGATACTGCATCGGTTGTCCCATCATCATCATCGGTTGACCCATCATGGGTTGTCCCATCGGTCTATAAATCGGCGCGACTGTAGCCGCCATGGGTTGCGGTTTGGGCTGATTCTTGGGCGAGTTCCATTGATTCGAACGACTTCCCGTATCCATAGTCAAGTTTTCCACCAATGAAGTGAGACTAGTTTCAAGGTCACCGGTTAGGAGTTTCGACGGCTGTGGAGGTCTTTGTGGCTGTGCAACAACCGGGGGTTGTTTCGGGGCTTCAGGATCGAAAACCGACGGTTCATTGGTGTTGAAAAGCCCACTGAGGTTATTCGATGCAAAGGTTGTCTGAGTTGGAGGTGGTTGAAATTGGGCATTGGCTGGAAAACCGTTAGCCCACATATTCGGAGCTGTGGTGGTGGCTACTGGAGGTGCAGCAAAAAGGTTTCCATCGGTGGCTGTCGAAGTCGGTGCTGAGAAATCAGCAAAAGGGTTCCCGAGAGATAAAAGATCATCAAGTGCGTTGGTAGGTTGAGTCGTAGGTGGTGGTGGTGGATTTGTTTCCGAACCGAAAAGGTCTAAAATGGGTTCGGTTTTGATCGCTGGTTCTTCGCTAAGGAAAGGGTTGGTACTCGCGGCTGTGGGTGAGCCAACGTTAGCTTTGTATCGGTTCAAAACGGCCTCTTCTTCGGCAAGAGCCGCTTGTTGGAAGGAATCGTCGACTGCAGACCCGAAAGCATTGCTAGTGTTTGAGAGGACTGAGACTCCAGATTTTAGATTCTTTTGATTGGCGGCGGCGGTTGGAGTGTTGCCTTCAAGTGAAGCTAAATGTTGCTCTAATGCGTCGAGGAGGCTGTTTGGGGCCCTAGTGAGATCAGGAATGTCGCCTTTGTCTATTCCAATATTCTCAGCGACTTTAAGGAACTCGGCGACTCGGTCCATGCGGATGAGGAACTTCTTATAGAGATCAAGCGCTTCACGACATTGTTTCTTGTTCATTTCGAAGTATTTTTCTAAAAGATTGATGATTCCGTCGTTATAGCAAGCGAATAATCTTATGAGATCACGAAACAGGAGCATGAAACACATATTGATGACTCCATTAGTGAGATCATTTGCTGTACAATCGAACTCCAAGAGAGCATCTAACTGATTCTGAAGTATGGGCAAAGTTTTGAGAAGATTCTCCGCATTCATTGTTCGTAAAGTACCTTCTTCTTTACCCCTTTTGACTTTACAAAAATCGAAAGCCACTGCTCGATATGAAAGAGCCTTCTCGTTGAGGTATCGAGCGTATCGTCTTATAAAAGGGGACATGTCGTAGCCGGTCCGCGCCCCCACGGCACTCTGAACGCCCGTCTTGTCGACAAAATTCGACAATTGAAAAGACACGTTACTCGAAGCCAAATACTGAGTGAATCTCTCATTTCCGTAACACATCAAATGATGAGTCGTTATCAATGCCTTGTAAACGACCACCCAACTGGTGTTTTGTGACCTTTCTATCAACAAATTCGCCATTTGAGGAATCGAAACGTTAGGCTCGTTAGTACAATGGACTAAGTAATCTAAATGTTTCTTCTTAGGGCCTAGGAGTTCTTCGGTGGTTGCTTTACATACCGATTTAGCCAATCCCTGGCCTGCTAGACTGTGTTTCGCCGCTAATAAACGATCGTTTATTGTTTGACCCGCCATAATATTCGTTACACAAATTACACACACTATTTTTAATAATTTTACGACCAAATTTTCAATTCAACTCGAACACTCGACGGGTCGATCGGCAAAATCTCACCGGCGAATCAATAAAATGTTGACACAAAATGGAGACTCGACACCTAGCGGTCACTATTGAAACCTCTCGCACTTTACAAAATCACGCAATACGACAAAAATACATAAAAACTAAACAAATACAAACTCTTCCTTTTTATATTTACTTACCAGAAAACTTCGTAGTCAGCATCCCTATTAATTACGACTACAAAAAACGACAAAATCAACTTACCGACACTGTAATTACAGAAAACTATCTTATGACAGACAATTTTTTTTGTTTTTGTTTTAATTATTACCTGCAGTTTGTAATGAACAAACGGGTGGTATTTTCGGCGACCAAGTTCCATCGTCGAGACACTGTTGTACAGTCGTTCCTACCAAAACATATCCAGAGTTGCAACTGTAGTGCAGCCTTTGGCCCACTTGATTCATTTGAAATTCGCCCCCTTTTTCCTGCACAAAATACCCATTTGCGACGTCCTTGGGTTGTGGACAACTGACTGGTTCACACGTGGCGTTTGCCCCCGTCCAAATACCCTTCTCACAGACTCTGTATTTGCTCTCTTTTGGCGTTAATTGGAAGCCTTCCCAACAGGAGTAAGTCGCTAAAGCCCCTTTGCGATACATCCCATCCTGGTGAAGATCTTCCATTATTAAAGACCCCTTGTCGATAGAAGGGGGCGGATAACACATCTTGTTACATTTGGGGCGTTGCTCTTGGTCCCATTTCCCGTCGTTGCAACTAAACATTTTGAACCCTTCAAGATAAAACCCTTTGAAACATTCAACTGTGACGATTCGAGGTTCTTCCTGTGTTATATTTGTAAAACCATTTAAGATTTCGCCGAAATCGGGACATTCGAGGAGACCTTGAGTGACGCTAAGGAACTCTGCCCCTTTGGTAGTCGACGTTAATAGCATCAAAGCGGTAACGCAAGACAACAACATTGTCAAGTTTTTATTACATCACACTGTTTTATTCGAGTTGTAACAATTAGGTTTTTTGCAAATTTCAAGTTTTTGTGGTTAAGTCCACCATTGTGATTGTTACAAAACAAAACACTTTTTGACAAGTATACAGATCGATCAGCTGTTCTGTGCTGTCAAGGTCACTTATTTGAGTTAATTAACTTTTGTTAATTATGTGATTTAACATAATTTGTTAAAAACCGGGACGCAATTAATGCCACTTTAATTTACAATTTATTTTAACTTTATTCGGTTTAAAGTTATTAAACACCAAAATAATTTAATCAATCTGTATAATTGGTTGCATAACCTATTCAATATTTTACTATATTTTTTTGAAAAAAAAAAAAATTAGAAAATTGTTCAATTAACACTTAATTTATAACGCGCCATTCACACTCACTCTAATTGAAGCGTTGTGCATCTCAAAAGGACCTATTTGCAATTGGTTGCCTACGCCTGATTCTAATGACATACCTAATGAAAACAATTTTTTTTATAGTAAAAGAGAATGCTTGATTACAAAAAAGATATGTAAGAGCAATAAACATTTTGTTAGTTGTAACAAAACATATTCCATAATTTTAGAAAATAATGTAACGATTAACTTTAGGTCCAGCGGACATAGCGCGACCCGGAGTGCGCCAAATCGAAGGTTTTAATAAGGTTTCCCGTCTGTTTTATTATACTTTATTGTTCTGTCAGCGCAAATAAATTTCCTCCAGTCTTATTTGATTTTCTTTCTCTCTTTACAAATAAAAACATTTGGTTGAAATTTCCCGGAGGCAGGCTTTTAATTACTTTCCGACATTTCTAGATGAGAATTCAGTTCCAGTTAAGGGCTTCGAAGGAATGCTTGTCATGCAAGTTATTGAACAAAGAATTTTCCCTAATTGGTATTAATTGAAATTTCCACGAAAAATCGACAGATTATTAAGATCCTTGACCGTCGCCACGGCAACGCTCTACAGCTCGGTGATAGATAGGGTTTAGGTATTAAAACACTGATTTCAATAGCATTTTATTTAACTGTTTTCGGTGTTAAAAATAGCCCGTTGGTACAATGATTGCCCTACTCTTGGTACATTTAACACTGATAGTGAACCAGCACTATTCTCGTAAAAAAATGTTTAATTCTGCATGGCAGTGGCAGCATTAACATTTTCCAAAAAATGGAAAAAGAAAAAGAAAAAGTTGGTCGTGTGTTCGATTCAGCCATCGTTAGATTTCGGAGAGACCACTTTTGTCATCACTTTGTAATAGTCGTGAGGTGATTTCGTGTCATAGATTTTCCGGCCGTTTTCATCCTTGAAATCGCCATAAGTCACACATTTTTCTGTAATAAAACCCAAACATTCGGCCACACGTTGCGTAAAAAGGCTCGTGGCATCGACTTTGACTAACTGGAAAATCACTAAGTTACAAAATGAAATTTTTAAGCCAACTGGTTACTTTAAATCCGTGTTCTTCTGCAATTAATTCACTCCTGAGGAAGAGTTCCTTGGCGATTCCTCTCCCTCTAAATCTCGAGTCGACCGAAAGAATCCTCAATTCGAATATCTTATCAACGTTATATTTGCTAAACAAATCTATACTCTTGTTAACATTATTCAATAGGCCGAAAATTCGTTGATATTTAATATTATCGATGCTCTTCATTTCCTCCAGTGCCTTTTCGACGTCGCCTCGTCTAGCGATTCCGTTCAGTGCGACCCCAGCTATCTGAAAAATGTCATTAAAATGGAATTCCGACCGAGTTTATTGCTTGAGGATTTCAATAAAACGCCTTGTGACCAAATTACACGTACTTCCCCCGTCGCCGACTCCACAGCCATTATCGAAAGACCGTCTTCCAGAGTCTGCAAATCGTGATGTTCCAGAAGCTCGCAAGGCTTCCCGTGGACGCACAGCCCCACAGAAGCATTCAAAGGCTCATCGGGGAAGTTGTGACGCAGGTGGTGGATCACGTCAGTGAATTTTGAGCTCGGGATAGGGCCGTACTCCATTTTTAACAACCTTAAAAACATTTTCCTACTCACTAAATTACGACAAATCTCGCAAAAATGCCAATGCGCTAATTGTTTAAACAGGCGGAGGATGTGTAAACCAAATAAATAAATAAATGGCCAAAAATTGTGACTTTTGAAGGTCAATTTTCAATTATTGAGAATACAGGGTGTTTCACATAATTTTACGAGGCCTGCGCCTGTAAGATGCAATCAATAATATATATAATATATATATATAATAGATCAATAATACATATTCCGATACGAACTCGATTACAAATTTTGAAAAATTGAATAATCTTCTCTAGTTTATTCACCCTTTCAAAAATTACAACGTTTTTAGTTAGTTAGTTATTAAGATAGATAAACTAGAATTATATTCAGCCGTCTTTTGATAGAACAAATGATAATAATTGTTTCTAAAAAACTGCAGTTTATGGCCATTAATGAAACAGTGATTAGTTTGACAACTACTGTCATGTGTTTCCAAAAATTAAATAATTAAATGTGTATTTTGTGTATCCAGTGTTTTGTGACTTGGGTGCGTACATTAGGCGCAAGCCTCGTAAAGTTGTGAAACACCCTGTATTGTGCTTGCAATTTTTTTTATATCTTTGAAACTCATCAAAAACTATTACAAAATAGTATAAACGTGTGTAACAATGTCTTATTTCTTATAATTTACAGGCTGTTCATTAAATCATGCTAATAATCGACATTAACAAATTCAAATAACTTATTATTGATTACCAAAAAAAAAATTAAAAAATTAAAATATAGGTAATAAAACAATGAATACATGCACACACACCTTATGCAGTATATCGGTCAGTGTGCCACTTTTACAGTGTCTGCACAAAAAGCCCTAGTCTGAAGGCCATAAATTCCAAAATAAGAACTTTATTTTATGATGGATTAACCCGAGCATTTGCTAATGTTTCATAAACGTTGTTATTAAGTCAATTATGATATAATTATAAAAAGGGCGCCAGATAAAAATAAAACGATTGTAAAACAAGTCTATAAAATGTAAGATTAGTTTAAAGCACTAACCTTTGATGGTACGAGCTTCACATGTAGTATGAGCGAGCTTTCGTGTGGCACTAAATTCACTAAACGTGATTTCTCTCTTGGATCCTGTTGCTTCTAGCAACGCCCGGGAATTGGTTTCCAGGCCCGGATTAATCCTAATTGGATTTTGTGTGAAACGAATCAACTTTCCCGACCGGATTTAAACAATCTTATTTTGTTCAATTAGAACTGAAAATCCGTGTTTGTTTCAATTTATAGAAAAACGAAAAAGGGGAAAAAGTTTATTTAATCAAAAATAAAGTCGTCGTCGTCCACTTCCCATGCAGTTGCCGCTTCCAAAAAATGTCTTCTCTTCTGAAATTCGGCTTCGCGTTGTGTTTTTAATTTTTTCTTGTCTTGGATCTTTTTCAAGCGGTAGAACTCCTCGCGTTCTAACTCGTCCAACTCGGAAATGATGTATCTCACAGTACGTTCGATTTTCGGAATTATTACATACTCAATTGCGTTGACTCTCCGATTGGTAACTTTGATAACTTCGTCGAGGGTAATGAAAGAGGTCTGGAGGGTGGCTAAATCGACTAGGAGTTTCCCCGCTTCTTGGAAACTTTTTTTGAGTTTGGACAAGTGTTGGCCGCCTCTGGATAGTCCAGCGAGGCCAAAACTATCAGTCCCTTCAACGACATAATCAAAATGAGGCAAAGTCACACCTGGAACGCATCAAGGAAGTGGGGAAATTACACTCTTTGGGGTACCTGCAACGTTTTCAGTGTGTGTTTTAATTTTAACTAAAGCTTTCTTTGGAATTGAATTCGTAACCATGTACACGAAATCAGGGTTTGCAAATTTGGCTTCTGTTAACGAGAAAGCCGCTTCTTTCATTACTTCCGCCATCAGGGCCTTGGTCTATAAAAAAATGTAGTTTTTGCAATTTTTTTACTATCACTGACGTCAATTATCTTTTTTAAAATTGTCCGAAAACGGTACTGAAGTGCATCGATTTTGCGTTTTAGTAAACAGTGGCTTTTCTGGGCTCCCATAAGGCGATGTTTCATCATCATGCGGGTCCTAATTAATTTTGCTTGTTACATTTTCATTTCAGAATAATACACACCCTTGTGACGGAAAAACAGGTAATCGGTCAGTATCAGACATTTTAACTGAAATTTTGATCCCCAAAACTGAAATGTCACATTTGACTTTTTCGTGGTGTGAACGAGTCTTGCAAGAACACTTATTATTAAGGAAGTCAAAGGCCAAATAAATTAAAAACGGTATCGTGTCAACTATTATATTGATCTCAATAATTGTAATTATACATTAATAACGCTTAAAATCAACAAACTAGAAAAAAATGGAATTTTCACTTATAGCTCTAATGTGAAACCAACCCCTAAACTTCGCAACTGACCGTGTTTTTCAGCATTGAACAAACTTATTAATACTTAGCTATAGTGAAACACGTAATATCAAAGTTATGCAACTTTGTACAGAAATTTATACAACACTTAGAAAATTATATTAAAAAAGAAGATCCTCGTCTCCTTCATCTAGCATATTGGCCACATTATCAGCCGCATCATCAGCCGCTCGTTGTCGAGCTTTATTATCGGCCTGTATGGCATCGGACTTAGCACGAGCGACTTTCTTCTTATCTTGGATTTTTTTCAAACGGTAGAATTCCTCACGTTCCAATTCGTCCAGTTCAGAGATGATGTAGGCCAAAGTGCGCTCAATTCTCGGAATAATTACTAGGAAAAAATTTCAAAAAATTACTAAGAAAAAAATTCAAACAAAAAAATCTTTAAAAAAAATAAATACCGTGTTCAATAGCATTTACTCTTCTGTTTGTGATTTTGATAACTTCGTCTAGAGTGACGAAGGACGTTTGTAATGACGCAAGCTCGACGAGAAGTTTTACAGCGCTTTGGTAATTCTTCTTGAGTTTGGCCAATTGTTGGCCCCCTCTGGCCAAACCGGCCAACTCGTAAGTGTCAGTCCCGTCCTGGTAACATTCAAAGACAGGCAAAGTCACACCTAGCAAAACACACAATCAACTTGAGAACAATTGACTTAGGGGGCCCTACCAGCCACATTATCTTTCTTAGTCCTGATTTTAATTTGGGCCTTTGTGACGTTCTGCAAGACAACTTGATTGAAATCCCCCGTTGCAAATTTAGCCTCGGCCAACGAAAACGCCGCTTCTTTCATTACTTCGCCCATAAGGGTCTTGGTCTGTAACACTCATTGGTACAAAAAATCGATCTTAAATCATCAACAAACCTCAATAATTTTGCTCAAAATCATACGGAAACGCATTTGCAACGCGTCGGCTTTCTTTTTGAGCAGACTGTGACCCTTTTGGGCCCCCTTCAGCCTCGCTTTCATTAACATTTGAGCCCTGAAAGAAATAAGAGGTCACTCCCATTTATTGTGGGTTTTTTTTTTGGGCGAGTTATACAGTAGGGTTTACGTAATTGAAACGCTATTTAAAAGGGTGGTTACGTACCCTCGGGAGGGGAATATCGCCAGTTTATCCTTCGAAGACATTTTTTTGCACTATTTTCATGTACTTCACGAGATCAGTCAGCTGACCGCGTGACATATGACAAAAAAACGCAACTAGCACCCTCTGTCAACGAACAATCAACCAAAATTATTAAAAAAACGAAATTTTTAAGTATAATTTTGATTCATAACAAGTTCACTCACTGTGAGAGTAATTCATTAAATCACCATTAATAAAATATTTAATTGTTACTTTCAAATAATCATATTTGTTGTCGATAAAGTAGAACACTTTATGTTACCGACGTTACGTAAGCTGTTAATTACATAACCTCACTTTTTTTGACATGAAAAACCACTTATGTAAACAAAATAATTATTACAATGTTTAAGGATTGTTTTAAATATTACAAATCTCGAAATCCTCCTCCTGATCTAGATAAAGTTTTTGATTTTAGCAACAGTGAGAAATTTTCATCGAAAGCAAGTTTTAAAGTTTGTGTTTTAGTTTTTTGTAATAAAAACGCAATTTTTAGATTAGGCGAATTAATGCGGAAAACATCAGCAATTCTGTCAGCAATTTTGGCTTAAAGCCTGCTAAAACTTGGGAAATTTACGAATTAATTGAGCATCCTGGTAATTAGAGTTGTAAAATAATACACCTCAATAAATAATCAATTTTAAGGATTAATTTTTATTAAAAATCCTTTCACTAGTATTGGTCAGAGGTACTGGGTGGTGCGTTGCTTGCAGGACTATTCAAAGCGTCCAAATAAAACAAACTTAGATGATTTAAATTTGATACCTGAAGGCAAGGAATGGTGGGACGTTTGCCAGAACAATAATAACAAAATATTAATGAATAAGTTGCGATGGGTGACGTTGGGTTATCACCACGATTGGGATAGCAAAGTAATGGATAAAAAACACTAAAGTAGAGCTAATTTTAATTTTTTAGGTCTACACTGAGGAGAATAAAGGAGAGTTTCCGAAAGATTTAGCAGATTTGAGTAGATTTATAGCAGAATCACTTAACTTTTTGCATTTTAACGCTGAAGCGGCAATTGTGAATTATTACCACATGGACTCAACTTTATCAGGGCATACTGACCACTCCGAACACAATTTAAGAGCTCCCTTAATCTCGTTTAGCTTTGGCCAAACTGCGATTTTTTTACTAGGGGGCAAGAGTAAAGAGGAGGAGCCTTCCGCTATGTTTCTACGAAGTGGCGATATTGTAATAATGAGTGAGGAATCAAGGCTGTGCTACCACGGTGTTCCTAAAATTTTACAAATGGATTCGAGGTTTTGGAACTGTTTTGAAGAAACCGATTTTGCTAATGATTATAAAAATGTTGTTAATATTTGTAAAGAGGAAACGTTGTGGAAGCCTTTTGGCGACTATTTGAATAATTCGAGGATTAATATTAATGTGAGACAGGTGTTGCAAAGGGGCCAGAAACGCCTTTGTAGCGAATCTGACGAAAAAACGTGAAATAAAAGTCAAAAATCAAACACGAGTTTGTAGTTTTATTGCGAATTTCGTTAATGCACAAAAAGATAAATAAACTTAATTGTAACTAATGTATGGCTTGATTGAGTGGATGGTGCCGCAAGGACAGATATCGAGCAGTCCTAAAATATCCCAAAAATTCACCGAAATACTGTAGAGTTTTGCAAAAACTCGATTTTTGCGGCTGCGTGTCTTATCCATCTTCTCGGCAAAAGTGTCTTCTTTTCCCGACCTCCTCTTCTTGAAAGAACACGAACTTGAGCTCGAATTAGTTGACATAATCTTTGACAATTTTGTTTTGTTAGTTTTGACAAAAATGTCACTAAAATTCTTCGTATCTTCTTCAAAAAATGGTAAATGACGATGTCGCCGTACCGGAGGAAAGTGATCTTTCCCTGAAATATAATTCCTGGTACGCGATCACTCTAAGTACCATAATCTGGGCGGCAAGCTACCAGCTTCTGAGAGCTGTATTGGTGTCAAAAAACCGCGAATATTGCTGCCGGATTTTGAGTTTTTTGCACGGAATTATCACCGCGTTTGTTGGGATAAACCAGTGTTTTCTTATCGATACGCCATTTGAGCACCCGGAATGGCGGACGACCAACAGTCAACGCTTTTTGATGGTATGCAGTCTGGGGTATTTTATCCATGATTTGATTTGGTGTCTTGTGTATGAAAGAGACTCGAAACTGATGATTGCGCATCACGTTTACAGTGTTTGTGCCTTGAGAAGAATGTTGTATAAGAACAACTCAGGGGCGCAAGCCACTTGTGCCTTGGGAAGCATGGAAATTTCGAATCCGATGTTGCAAATTCGGTGGTTTCTCAGAAGCGAAGGATATTATCCTTCGAATTTGTTCACCTCAGTTGAGATCACTTTTATGATTATATTTTTCCTTGTGAGGATTGTCCTCGGGACGTACTTTTTGATTGTTATTGCGTTTCAACCGAAAAACGACTGGGATTTTAGAATTCTCGCCGTGACTATTTACGCAATGTCTTGGATGTTTATGATAAATATCACCAAGTACTTCATTAATAAATATGGACTTGGGTACAAAGGAAATGATATTCAACATAAGGGAACCTGACTCTCGTTTTATTTGTTCATTTTTATGTATTAAATAAATTATTTAAGTGGAAAACGTCTTTAACTGGAAACCGCTACCGTCCATAAATCATGATAATTTATCGTCGTTAGGATCAACTTTAAATTAAACTGCAAGCTAAAGAATAACGACGTTGCAAGATTTAATGGACGAGATTAATATACTTATTGCTTGTAATTTACCAAGTGACAAAATTAATTGAATTGATTTAAAATGTAACGTCTTTATTTTTATCGGAATGTTCTCGACCAATTTGCAATTTAAATCATACAAATAACTCATCGAATCGTTAGAGGTACCATTGATTAATTAATCACATACTTCATAATATATTCCGAATTTATAAACCGGACGAGGTATTTGCACTTCCGTGTGATTCAATTAGAAATGCAAAAACGGGAATGACAAATCCTAATTGAAAACTTTGGAAACTTAAAACACAACACTTGCTTTAAGAAAACTTTATTTCATACGCATTACACGTTTCAAAACTACTTTTGTTGTCCTCGCGAGGAATAATAAGCCTTATTATTTGGGTTTAGCTCCTTTGACCGATTGTCGTGCTCTGCTTGAGTGTACGAAGTGTCCGAACCTGACAAAATCACAAATGAGGGAAAATTTCATTTAGTCAAAAAACAACTTACCAGTATTTAAACCCCTGCTCGAGTAGTAGGCCGAATTATTTGGATTCCCTTGATTGGCATGATTATCTTGTGCATCTTTATCCATTTTTATGCTTTTTCGAATTGCTCACTCTTGGAAAAATGATTTGGGAACTGCTCTTGTTAAAAATCGCTGATGTGCTGGTTTATATATACCCGAGTAAAATTTTTTATCGCAAAAAGGGGATTCACATATGAGATATTTGTGATCGACATTGTCAGGTAATAAATTAATAAGAAACGGTGGTTTCATTATCATGAAAATAAATATTCCAAAAACGTTGATTTTATGCCAATCTTCTTGCAGCCCTCTTACACTTGGATTCCAAACGTACCAAGAAAAGGCCCCCACGATCGACCTCATCGGATAAGAGGTCATGGGCAAGGTGGTGTGGCCCAACCTGGACAGCCCAATCTCGGTGACGATCTTGGCAACGACACGGTTGAACCAACCAGGGAGGTTGCACTCATAACACCAGGAGCATCTGATGACCGCCATTGTTTGCACAAAGCAAGACGACCAGAGCCACAAGACCTGGCTCGAATGGACCACAAACTTGTAGAGACCCTTTCAGGACAACCCGACATCTGGCGCATAAATTGCGCCGTGTATGATGCTGCTCGTGAACTTGCCCAAAGGTCCCAGCCCATAACATCGGGTGCGGACAAAAGGGCTGAGCGGCGAACACAAAAGTTGGAAGCCAAAATCCGGGAGGCGAGACAATACGCATCCCGTATCCAGTGTGTGTTGGAATACAAAAAGGCTGGGCGACCGTTCACGCCCAAGGTCCGACGCATAGCGGCGGACTTACGGTGCTTTCATCACACCCTGAACGGTGCAGTGTTGCAAACCATCAAGCAGCATTGTAATGAAAGGATACGGGCACTAGTGACCGCCAAAAAGTCATTAGTCAGGAGAGCGAAAGGGCAGAAACAAAACAAGGTTTTTGCGGAGAGCCCCTCTCGCCTATTCCAGCCGCCACAGCGTGTTGGAGAAAATCCGCCTACCCCGGAGGCTGTCCATCTGTTCTGGAAGGGAATCTACGAGCAAGTACGGCCATTTAATGCCGATACCGCGGCCTTGGCACAGTTTGGGACTTTTCTTAATGAAAAGTTCCAGAACCCAAACAACCTGTGCCCACCGATAACCCTTGAGGAGGTTCAAGGTACCTTAACGGGTGCAAGGAACTTCTCTGCTCCTGGACCGGATGGGATTAACTCCTACTGGTGGAAAAAGTTTCCATCAACCCATCCACATTTGGTCCGCATCTTTAATGCTTGGATGCATGGGGAGCAGGGGATCCCCCAATGGTTTGTCGAGGGCCGGACCGTGTTGGTTCCTAAGAACGGGGATTTGTCCGATCCAAAGAACTATAGGCCAATCACATGTTTAAACGCATGCTATAAAATCTTTACAAGGGTCTTATACATGCGGATACTTAAAGCAGTGGATCCTGTTTTTCGTGAGGTATGCGAACAGCGAGAATCAAAGAGGGGTGTGGCTGGCTGCAGGGAGAACTTGCTGATAGATCGTACTATCACGCAGGACTCCAGGCAGTACAAGCGGAACCTCTCGATGGCCTGGATTGACTACCGCAAGGKGTTTGACACAACGTCTCACCATCTCGTTGTGCACCTTCTCAAGAGCCTTGCGGTGCCTGATCCTATAGTGGAATGCCTAGAACGAATGATCCTACTTTGGCGAACCAGATTCACCATAACATCAGGTGCCACAAAAGTTCGCACAGAGTGGGTGACGTTCCGGAGAGGGGTGTTTCAAGGAGATTCCTTGAGCCCCCTCTTGTTTTGCATTTCGCTACTTCCGCTTTCAATTGCCTTACGAAAAACAAAGGGATATACTTGCGGCCCACCTTCGCACCGGAGGCATAAGGTCACCCATCTTTTCWATATGGATGACCTTAAACTTTACGCCTCCGGAGAAAGAGAACTACAACAATCTCTTAGGGTGGTGCAGGAGTATACTCATGCGATTGGAATGGAGTTCGGAACGGACAAATGCGCACTGGTCCATATCAAGAGAGAACGATGCGGAGAATACGGAGAGGATGAGCAACTTGCTGATGGAAGCATTCTTAAACATCTGAATGCCGGAGAGACCTATACCTACCTCGGCATTGAACAGCGTAATGTTCAAGAGGTAGGTAAAATCAAAGAGTCTCTTCGTGGCAAGTATCGGCAACTGCTCCGGCAAATTTGGTCTTCCGAACTGTCGGGGAAGAACAAAGTTGCCGCAACAAATATGCTTCCCGTTCCGATCCTGCTCTGCTCTTTTGGAGTAGTGAAGTGGACTAAAGGTGAGTTGCAAAACCTCGATGTAGGGACCCGCAAAATGATGACTCTTCAAAGGAGTCATCACCCAAAATCATCCGTTCCATGGTTATATCTCCCACGTAATCGGGGAGGCCGTGGACTCTTGAGTTTGCGGTGTCTGCACGACAGCTTTGGGTACAGCCTGTAAGATCATCAGGAGCTCGGATCCCCTTCTTCGCATGGTATGCGAACACGAAAGAGGGGAGGTGGGAGCATTTTTGTTTAGGGCAGCACGAAGGGCAGCGGATGAACTCGGTCTTGTCTTCGATGAGGAACGAGTGTCTGAAAACTCWGWCACKGAGTGGGAGGATACTCGTTTCCAGGCCCACYTAAGGGAWGCCGAGGTGCGCAGTTTATTGCGCAAGCACTGTGACAAGCCCATGCATGGTGTCTTCTATAAAACCATAGAAGACCAGGGCTTGTCTCAGCGGCTGACCTTTGTCTTCTTGAAGGCAAGTGGGTTAAAGTCGGAGAAGGAGGGGTTTATCATAGCCTGCCAAGATGGTGTTTTTAACACGCTCGTCTATCGCAGCCGCGTGATGGGTATGGACATTCCGGATATTCGGTACAGGGCATGTCGCACTGCACCAGAGACACTGATGCACATACTGTCGGCTTGTCCGAAGTATGCAGTGTCGTCCTATATCCATCGCCACAATGCGGCCTAACGAGTGGTTTACTACCACCTTAGACACTCGTACGGTGTAGACGAAACACCTGTGCTTCCCTATGCTCCAGGAGACATTGAGTCGGTAGTGGAGAATGAGAAGTGCCGAATTTATTGGAACTTTTCGTTCTCAACTACAGGACTCATTCAGGCCAACAAGCCTGACATTGTCCTCCTCGATCTTCTATCTAAGGAGATGTTTGTGATCGAATTCTCTGCTCCGGCTGAGCCAAACATCTCCGCTAAGGAGGAGGACAAGCGGTTAAAATACCGAGATCTCCTTCAGGAGCTCCGTAGGCTGTATCCTGGCTATTCTATCAAACTGGTCGTCTTGGTCATCGGATGTTTAGGGGGTGCAAGACCAACGCTGCTTTCGTCTTTGAAGATCATTCCGGCATGCCGTGACGCGGCTGAACGACTTGCCGGTCAAATGCAGAAGGCGGTAATCCTCGGCTCATTGCTTCTGCTCAGGGCACACGATTTGTGGACCTAGGATTTGCTTACCATGCGGTCGTATGGAGCAGGTTCAAGGGTATGGATTAACCCGACTGGAATTACCCTTCAGTTGTCGGAGACTGGGGGCTCTGGTTCCAGTCAAATTTAAACGAGAAAAAAAAAATAATAATATACGTAATTAATATACGACCGTATTTGTACGTTGCAATTTCGATTGCAGCAACAGATTCCCGGAACTATTTCTGGAATTGTGAACTTTACTTGAAATCCATTTCTATGGTTTCCGTAACATTTGCCATTCATCTGACAATTATCAATTAAGTGTTTGTTTCACTGTCAAAGTATAAATGTCGTGCCTGCACGTGCAATTACTGGACACATATCATTAGTTGATAGCAACACTATCCCTAATGATCAGCCTCCTTGGCCACGTGGAAAATGGTCAATGCCCAATTTTTTTTTATAATTATGTAGATATACTTAAGAATTTGACACCTGTGGGAAAATTCTTTTATAATTCAAAATACGTGCGCTAATTTTGAGTAACAAAAACAAGAAATCCAAAAAATTTTTTAAATTATTTGTGTTGTTATAAGTTCATTATTAGTAATGATATAATAAAAATCTACAGTTTCAAAAAACTCCCTTTTTATTTTTAGTGTCAAGTACCTTTAAAAGGTAAATTAATACTTATTAATGTCTTGGTTTCTGGTTTTTATATGTATATAATTTTGCGCTTTATTTTAATATTTTGTAAATACGAGGATTTACTTTGAGCTTTATTAGGGGATTTACCTTTTTTCCTACTATCTGCACTTTCTATGATATCGAAATTGTTATCATGTTATCTATGTACTTTGTAACAAATGCTATTCAAATTCATACTTGAAGAACTTTGAAATCACTTGATGTCGGTAAATTTTTAGTTTTGCAAGACGGTTGAAAGATTTGGAATCATTTTATCGTGGCATTCTCATGTATATTTCATCTTGGCGGATGGTGCGAGAAAATGTATGTCCGTGTATCCCATGCCGGTGTTGATTCTGGTTCATTAGGCAGGAGTGCATGTACGGTATTGATCATTGCACGAACAACACAACATTAAATTTAATGGATTAAGGCTGTATAAGGGGCTTTCTCCGCATAGCCGACGGTGTGCAAGACATCTCCCAGCATCCCTGAGCCGCAATCTTACTTTTCTTAACCGCTCTCGCCTCGTATGTTAGAAAAACCGTTTAATTTGTGTCCGGTATTGTGCGAGTTTCTTCTGGAAATTAGATTAGCAGATAAGGCGAGTGGGTGTGCAAAAAAGTCGTCTAATTAAAAAGCTTGGCGGTAGATAATAATTATTGTCAACGACAAACACAATTATTTCCTTCTGTCACTGACACTCAATTGGATTTCCATCGGATGGAAAATTAAAATTGTTAATCACAGACCCGTGTAATTAATCAAATGCAAAACTAAATCAATTTTGAATTTCCCCCGTGTGCCACACTAAAATAATTGAAATTTGTTTTTTCTAAAAAGGAAAAGTCGTCACAAAGTAAATTAATCAAAGCGAAAGTGTGATTTTGGCTGACGCGACGCGAGATCAAAGTTGTTCAAGTAGCTAAGGGGCCCTTGCGTATTATGCACACCCAGATTTGCATAGATACAAGACCTCGGCGTCTTTCATCTCCCGAAAATAATTAACGTAAATCAAAATTCGCCTCCATTAGAAATGAAAAACTTTTCCTGAATGCTTTCACCGTCTTGTTTTTAGTCGAGTTTTTGGCTAAGCATTTATCTAATCGTCTCGCGCATTTGTCAGTGCGAATTAGAATTTCTGAATCGCCGTGACGCTCTTCGATAAGAGCCCTCTTTCGAATGAATATTCATTTCATACGGATGTAAAATGTGTATTTAAAATTCTCGTTTGCGTTTCGAGTTTTATCTCCACCGATTTAAGCTACACGTGAATGTGCTCTAATTCCAAATCTCCATGAAATAACAAAATTTCCTCGACCGAATCGTCCCAAAAACGTACACATTTTTTACTTGACGTGACTCATCAACATATAAATGGGTATTCGATTGTAATTCTGTCTTGGCGGACAGGCGAGAAAACGCCACATTTACTTAATTAGTTTTGAAACCGGACAAAATTGGCGCGAAAAGCGCCATCTGCAAACGACGGACCGTGAAATCGACGACGTCATCGCCATGTGCACCAATCAAAAATCAAAATGAAAAAAAGACGCTATTTTTAATAATAAAAGTGCTGACAGGACGAGTCGCTGCGAAATTAATTAGGGCGAAGGCTGAAGGAGCTTATTTGCTGCTGAAATGGCACCGACGACTTTTTAATATCTGAACATAAATCCGCGCAATTTTACTGTTTTTGTCCAATCAAGGGACAAATCACAATTTTTTCTTTTCTCCAAAAAGTTTTAATTTATTTTTATAATACCATTTTTATCCGCTAGCAAAATAAAAAGTTTTCAATAATCATGTGAAATTCTTCCAATATACTCGTATCTACTTTAGTTTTTTCTGTTTTATAAAATCTGTATTCACAATTTATTTTTTTGTTGTAAAAAATCAAAACACGCAAAAAAATTTGAATTTCATTAGAAATTTTTGGCAAAGAAATGATTAATTTTACATATTTTTCAAAAAGTTTTTTCCGTTAATGAGTAAAGTATTGACCAACTTTAATCATGTTGTGCTGTAAGCATTGAAAAACCTAATAGTTATTTATGTATATATCAAGAGATTAAACAATTATACAAGGTGATTCACGAGGAATAATGAGCCTGACCAAATTCTCGATGCAACCACCATTACTTTGCGCAAGTTATTTTTCGACAACTGAAATGTTGGTTGCATCGAAAATTTGGTCAGGCTCATTATTCTTTGTGAATCACCCTGTATTTGAATCCTGAGAATGGTACCTAATGCCAGAGGCAATCAAAGGGAGCAGAGGGCATTTTGATTCTTCTATTTCATTCTAAAGATACAAAACTTTGTCAAAATATTCAGTTCATTCAATAGCAATTAAAAAAAAATAAAATTGGTATCAAGGTGATTTTATGTCGAAAAACACTCAAAAGATTCAAGTCTTTCAATTCCAGTTTATTTTAAGAGTAAAAATTGGGATTTTATTTATTTTATTTCAGAGGGAATAAAGAACTAGATTATTAGCTAACAACAAGGGGTTAAAGCGTTGCTTTATTCTCTGTTGGAAGAAAAAAAATTAAACAAAAATTTTAATAATGTAAAAAATAGGTTCCTATTATATTAAGGTTAAAGCACAGTGATAAATATTTACAAGAGAAGTCGTTTCTGGTTTATTGGATTATATTAAGAGGATTTTTGAGTGCGTGTTTGGGCTGTAACCGGTTGGAGGCTTGAAAATCCGTGTTAGGTTTTATTTAAAGCTGATATTACGTGACAGATTTTTTAATAAGTGCACTAGTTCAATGGAAGCTGGCAGCTTTCAGGTCGTTGAAAGCGTGTATAAGAAGGTTTTATTTGAAGAACATTCGAGAATGCGAGCGAGCACCTAAAAAGTATCGCCTCTTGCAAATGAAAGACTCGAATCGACTTTTCAAGATTTAATGCATTTTTGGGCTATAGATGTACGAAATAAATAAAAGTCGGAAGTGGAGGTTTTCCCCCTTTTTCTGGCGAAGTTTCGAAGAGTAAGAAAGTCGAGATTAAGATAAATGCGTTAAAAAACCGCAAACTTCTGACTTCTTGATTCAGCATTGATGACGGGGTGAGTTACGACCTACGTGTCGGAAAACAAGCAAAAAGAATTTCCATTGCTAAATGTTGGCGATTTTCGTCTAGGTTCAAGTTTTCTTTGAGTTAGTTTTCCGCGCTTATTCGAACGATAAATTATTTCGAAATAATATCGCAGACTCATAATTCTTTGTGTTTTAAACGAGAGAAAAGCTTTCAAATCGCGTAGTCAATGAATTACAAAGTCTCCTTATCTCTTTGATATTCCATTCTGATACTTGAAAGTCTGACATGTAAACGAAGTATTCGAGCTAACGTAGAAATTTTTAGTTTGACAAAACGACTCTTTTCTTTTAAGTTTTCTTATCATGTCCCAGGGTGAAAGGTTCGGTTATAATTCATTAAAATAAGGTCAGCTCTCGTATTGATCTTCAACTTGAGACGGACCGGAATAATAAAATTGATCCACAAAGAGATTTGTTAGAAACTTTGTAATTGAACGAATCGCCTCGATTGAATTTTGTATTGGAACGTGTCCTCCAATCAGCATTGCCAACTTAACAAAGTAATTAAAACGAACGAGGATTTAAATAAGGATCGTTATAGGCGCCCCGTAAACGAACAGTCCGTTTAAATCAACTCCTAAAGCAATATACAATCATTAACCAACAACTTTGTCTGCCTTTTCGAACCAAATCAGGCAATAGAAAAATTGCCAACTTTACGACCGGACATTTCCAACATAACCTCTACATAATTTAGAAGCAAAGTCGCATTGTTAACACACTAGTACCAACCTCCGCGCGCGGAATACGTTATCGCGATATCGGGAAACGCGCCGTTTTTAATTACTTCGTAATGCACGTACATTGATGACGGTTGGCAACAGTGATGCGCTCAAACCATAATTAAATTCAAATTCCCCGTTCGGCACTTACCTTAATAAACAAGCAAATTGCCCCAAATGTAACAGACATATACTGGAGGCAAGTTTGCCTCCACTAATTTGGCGTGACGCCCTCGTTTTACATGGTGGTCTGCTCGTCTGTTTTCGGTAAATTACAACGAGGGGGCGTCATTTCGCAATTATACGACGCACCATTGCACTTTTGTTTGCATGAAACACCAACCCCCCTTTTTGTTTATTTATGCGGCGGTCACTCTAGTCCAAAAGGAAAAAAGGTCTTTGACGATGGATCCGTATTAATTATACATCCAGACCCTGGATGGATTATGCAAATTTTTCAAAAAGGGATTCTTTAGTTTTAAAAGGGTTGATTTAAAAGCAGCAAAAATTTATTTAAATCAGACAAATTAAAAAAGTACAATACTTAAAAACTGACAACTAATAACGACTTGCATTCAATTTCGACACTAATTCGGTCATTTCGCTCAAATCCTGTTCGATATCCTTGACTTCGCGCAGAGCATAATTCAGGAGGTTAAATACACATTCACTATCATCAATTTTATCACTAGATTTACCACAGCAATTTAAATCACTATCACTGCGACCACTTCTTAACCCTTTCGGTAAATCTTCTAAAAACGCCCTATTGAAAACATTTGGTGAACTGTGCTGTTTTTGTGATGCTCTTCGCATTATCTTTTTCAAAAAATAATCACGTTTTTCTTGCGGACTCATATTGTAGATGTTAGGGACTGTTTTATTGTGCCTGAAATTATGTTATTAGCAAATGCCAAAAGGTTATTTTTTAAAATTACTTGCTGAGCTTGTCCATGTTGATTCACTGGTGAGTTCTGAACGGTTTTAGAAAATTCATAGTGTTTAGGGGGAAGGGAACAAACAAAAACAGCAACATGTTTTTCTAAACGAAATAAAATAGAAAACAGAAATTTATTCAGAATTGAATTCTTGTTTTACAGAATAATTGTCTTTGTTTTGTTTAATTTCATGCGAGTTTCATATTAAGTTAGATTTTTTTTATTGTTAGTAATAAAATACAGTGTCAGGTAGTAAAATTAGTCTATTTAGATATTATTTACAATTTTATAAAATTTTTCTAAAGTGGAAAAAGTTGAATCGATTTGGTCAATAATTTTTGAACATAATTCATTTTGAAAAAGAGTATCAAAAACCGGCGTTTTTTTCGGCTGATTTAAATTTTCATTTCTGTCATTCTCAAACGATATTACTCTAATACCATCTTGAACTTTATTTAATACAATTTCCACACTGTCAAGGGTTTGCATAATATTCTCGGTAACAAGTCCACAATCTTCTGAAATTAAACGTATATTAATCTAAGGTTAATTATATCTAAAAAAATTACCTTTTTGTACGTCCTGAGTTTCGGAAAAATAAATTTTAGCATTTTTATGTTCACTTTTCATTTCATTGTCTTCAATATTTTTGTGAAGCTATGAATTGTTCAAAAAACACTCAATCACACTTAAGATTTTGTTGAAAAAGTTTTTAGGTTGACTTTGAATTTGAACTATTTGTGTTTTTTGTGAACCGTTACACTGCTTCCGAATGAAACTCATATTTTCAGTTTTAGACTGACTTTCCGACTGAATAATTTGTATTTTTGTAACACTATAAATACCTGAATTTTTACCTGGAAATCCTATTTGAGGTAATTTTTGCGATTAGTGAGCTGCAGAGAAGGGGTTTATCTTGTTTGGCCTAAGAGGGATTAAAATTTTCTTGTTTATCGAATTTGGAACTTAATCAAGACGTGTTGTTTGGAAGTTGAAGGGTTGAATCCAGGTCGATGGCTTGCAATGTACCGGTGGTTGGTAAATATTCGAGCGACAATTGTAATAGACTTGATTTGCATAATATAATAGCTTTTGTTGTAGTTTCAGTTTGATAACATGCTATGCAACATTTTAGATGGCATATTTGTTTTCAACCGAGATGGTTGTACGATGAAACCGGCACTTGCTAATTATGCTAATTGAACGCCACCAACTCTAATTAGAAATGATGGAAATGAAAATAACACGACACCGTCACAGCTTTAGGGAATTTATGCGTTAGTTCATCTTCCGCAAGAAAAAATGAGATTATGGTTTAATATCAAACTCTAAACTTTTCCAATAACATCGCGTCATTAGTTTCTCACAAAGTGCATTGACACTTTTTTACTGCACCACAGCGATGATCGATATACGTGTTAAAAGTAATAGAACGTAAATCTGGTGCAAGAACCCCGGAATGATGATCTCGACGCATAAAACCAATGATGCACAAAATTACAACGTCACAATAACAGAATACACTAAACCGGGATGAAGTAATGCAATGTAATTTCACGTAATTGCCCATTTGTTTTCTAATGTTGCGACTTTATTACCGCGTTGTATTTAATTGTTAGTTTAAGAGGGAAATTGGAAGCGTTCGATCGGGAAAATAGGTTTTTATACTGCATATACAACTGGAGATAAAAGCCCAACATTTTTACAATCGATAGACTGTTTTATTTAGGGGGGAGATCAAGTAACAGTTTCCTTTATTCCTCATTATCGGCGATTGAAAGGGGCGCCTTGATGATCATTACTCGAATGTGGTAATAAGGAATGCGTTACTTTTACCGAGGGAGGAAAATCGATCGTTTTTCAGACGTTGTGTGTGTGCTTTAATTTTTCATTATGACCTTAATTAGACGCTTCGGTTGAGTCAATCAGGGCATCCTTGGAGCGAAAAGGCATGTAATTTTCGTTTAAGCGTTGTTCATCATCCACATCGCGCATTTATCCGATATTTATGATTTGCAAATAGGCCGCTCTAGTCGAAATCACCATTACAGATGAGACCCATAAATTTTACAACAGACATCGGCTAATATTTATTCACACAAAGCTGTAATTTTCAGAGGGCGATCCTCGCTACAGTGATAAACGTTCCTGATTAATTATTACAAATAATAATTTATCGCCGCTTTCTCTTCGCAAACAAGTCGTCTCTTTTGTTTTTATTGTTAACAAACGTAAAGCTCGGCTTAATGATTTCAAGATTTGGGTGTAGTCCTTTCACGTGGGTGTGTGGAGTTTCCTTGGGCCGATATCACGTATTAGACGGTGTTTTAGAAGTTTCAAAACTTCGTTTTATCCTGGTGTAAAAGATGTTACTTTTTCCGAAAAGAGATAAATTGGAATTTAGTTTCTTCGAAGGCACGTATCGCCAAACAAAATAAATACGCTAACTTTTCTCCTGTTGGAATGATCACGGAAAATTTTTTTTTAGCCGGAGCTGTACTTGATTGCCATATAGGCGTGCAGATTATCGCTACTCTCGGCCTGGCTTTTAAAGCGAAAAAATGCAAAGCCGTTGTTACTTGGACGAAATAAGGGTGTTCTCTAAAGCTGTCAGATTATCAGACTTGAATAACAACAACGCACCGAGCTTTTGTCCTGGCGTATTCCGTGCAATTTGTTCTGATTTGCGCTCGATTTCCTTTTGTAAATTTTTATCTAGTGGCTTCCTTCGTTCGCAAACTGTCACCAAAAATCACCAGAGTGAAAATCGAGCTAATGACGAGTTGGGGATTTCTTGTTGATGATATTTTTTCTACATTGTTTGCTTTTTGTGAAAGGAGATTAATCTCGGATTATTATTTTAAATGAGATGTTTTAGCAGTGTCTCGATCCTTTCTGTGTCTTTACAACTCCTTCATTTACTCTCTTAAACGGCTTTATTACGTCTTAATGAGCAAGAAAATGAACAAAAAGATAACTAGTGAAAGCTTGAAAAGGTTGAATTTTGATAGATTTTTGTTTGTTTTATGGTGAATACAAATATGCACTTTAGATGCAACTGGTGCAAGACTGGTTGTGGCATATAACGTTAACAAAATTGCCTTGAGGCGGTGGCTTTGTGAAAATTATATAAATTGCGGATTTATACTCTACCAAATTCAACTACTTCAGATTTAATTTAGAAAAGTTTCGGTTGGGATTTTTGGTCTAAATTTAATAACGCGAAGTGAATCATTTATTAGTGAAAATTACGCCGAGACTCGGGAATGTGAGGTGTGATATATGTGGTGTTAATCCCTGAATTGGTAGTGACATGAGGCTGCCACCATACAAAATTAATTTTCGTTTCCCACAACACCCTGTCGACGATAGGCACGTGCCGATGTCTTTTATGGGAAAAGTTCGGCCACATTTTCTCTCACACTCCCCACGCCAAATTGTTTTCTTTCATTTAGACTATCGATGGATTTGATGGAACGCTCGATTTAATTAAGCGAGTTATGTGTGCACGAGAGAGGAATTTCGTTGGCACCACGTGAATAAGAAACTCGCTTTATGCTAAAAAACATTTCGTTAACTTTTGTGCGTCTAATTTAAAATTTTCTTCATAAAAATTCAATGCAATGCAAAAACCGATCTTCAATAAAACTTCTAATCTCCCGAGAATTTGCGAATACAATTTCGGGATCATGTTTATGCTGCCAATTTTCGTTGTCACGCTTTGTTACCGGTTTTACGCCTATGCGCTTTGAACAAAACTTAAATCCTCTCGAGGATAACATTTTCCTCAAAGTAACGATATCTGTCGAGAAGGCCCCATCGTCTTCTCTTTTCTTTTCTTTATGGAAAATATGCAAAAAAACTCGGGAAATTTTAAACTTGCCCTCGATTCTACTCGACACACTCACTCGACTGTGTTATTGATTCTCGTTTATGAAACGCTCTGACACATATTGGGCCGTATCTTTATTTTAAGCAGGTGTAGACCGACGTCAAGACGATTTTCATGATCGGAGACGGCGTAAGGGCTGCAACGTCGCCGCCTACACTTTTTGCAAACCATGAGGAACCAGAAGAGCAAGCGGAAACTTTTATTTTAGCAGTAAAAAAATAAGGACTTGTTTGTTTTTTATTTGCTACTGCTTTACTCTGACTTTTTTCTACAATTTTGAGATAATTTATCACAGTGATTCAAATCAAAAATCTTAAAAAATGTTTATGTTTAAATACTTCAGAAGAAACGAAAACTTACGACAATTTTTTAAAATTGTCGTAAGTTTTTAAAATCAACCCTCATAATCGCTTTTAATTTTGTAATTTAATTGACAATTTACGATATTGATAAATTAGTTATACATGAATTATGTTTTTGAAAGATATGAAATATTAACATTTTTAAAATTTTTAAGTAAACATTGTAATGCGATGAAGGTCCTACTTAATTTTGGGGTAGTTATTGTAAGCAATTCAAATAACCAAGAATGTAAGAAACAATGTGAGAAATATTTTAAACCTAAGCTTTAAACGCAAAAATATTATATACCAGGCGAAAAAAAGTATGAAACCAAATGTTTTTTACTTAATCTATTTATTTTTTGAAAAAAACTAATTGATGAATGAAAAGTACTATAGAAGAATTCTTTTAATTTTTCCCGAATGTCATAAAACTTTGTTGTCTTTGTCGTTCTTCTAGTACTCGTGAGTAGGTAGGAGCAAGTAAGATAAACGTTTTGCCGCTTTTTGGTCCCACCAGTGGTATGTTGTCTTTCTCGTACTTAGGTTGTTTAAAAGAGACAGCACACTTCAGCACGCCCATCTGCTTCACTCAACCAAAACATAACACTGATTCTCAATACGTTAAAAAAATGCAGCAAGAGAAATGGACAATTAATGAATGGATAAAATGAACAGACTTTTAAGATTTTGTTTTGCGTGGAAACATACAAAAGACTTATTAATTTATTTAAAAACAACAAAGACAAAACAAGTAGCGCATGGGATTGTTATTTGACACAGTTTTATGATAATCGAGAAAAATTAAAAAAGTACAACTATATAAAAGCAGGCACGGAGCTAGGCCCTCATATTTGGAA